GAAATATTAAAGAATTTTAGTATACTATACATATATACCAAGTTATATCTACATAATTGTAGAGACTCGTGTACACAAACGAAAAATATATGTAATGATTTCTTATACATTGAAATAATACTAGTTTTTACACTTGGCTGCAGAGCTCCACCATGTCAAGCAAGTTTTGCATGACAACAAGCTTCGAGTCCCGCGCCTACGTCACAGTGAACGAGTGAAGCCGGCCACAGTCGAGCGTGTACCTGCTGTACTGCCATATGTTAGAGGAGTCACTGACAAGATTGGCTACATCTTGAAGCGTGCTTCCATCAAAACATACTTCAAGCCGCTGAAGAAGATTGGTCAGTTTTTACCATCGGTCAAGTGTAATGTCCCTCTGCAAGATGCAGGAGTGTACAAGCTTGATTGTGAATGTGGTCTCTCCTACATAGGACAAACTAAAAGATCAATAAAAACCCGCGTTAAAGAACATATAGCTGATGTGAAGAATCGACGCTCCGGGAAGTCTGCAGTCTGTGAACATGTACAGGATCGCCCCTGTCACTACATCAGATTTGATAGACCGCAGATCCTCGCTAAAGAACACCGATTCCTTCCAAGGATGATTCGCGAGGCTATTGAAATCAAAAAACATCCTAATTTCAATAGAGAAGATGGCTGGGTGCTACCATCTACTTGGGATCCTATAATAAATAAAATTAAATCCCAACCCAAGCATACAACTGCAAGACTTCAAGATACCATAAGTTCATACTGCATAGATCGGAACAAAAGTTAAATTTTAATCTATGGTAACCGCGGTTAACTATGACATATGGACGTTGAACATCTCAGTCCTGCCCGTGACCATGAGTGCTGTAAAGCGTTCGAAACGTCGGGTATTTAAAAAGTTAAAATATACGCGATAAATTCCGTAAAAACTAGTATTATTACGAAAAATATATGAATCAAGTCGCTACTATTTAGATGGCCAACAGACGAGACAGCGAATTCCAAACGTTGTTTTGCTTCTTATAGATTTAGTCTTTTTATTCATTTATTTATTTATTTGATTATTTGCATAATGTGTATGTTTTACAGTTGTTATAAAAATATAGTATAACACATTAAGCATTTCTGGTGTACAAAATGATAGAAATTTAAAAACGTTAACTACAATATAGATTAAAATTACAAAAAAAAAACATTGATAACAATTAACAAACAAAAAACATAAAAATAAACTAGAAAGCGACACAATAAAACAAAAACATTTACTATTAATTGCACTATCACATTATTAATATTTATATTTTCATGTCACATTATATATTAAGTATTAAAAATTATAAGTCCAAAATTTAAAGATATTGTTTTTCCACCAACTCCCTAACCGAATAAAAAAATTTATTCTATATTTTTTTATATATTAGTATATATATTTTTTTTATTTATTCTCCCCCTATCTCTGACACTACATCTTTTGTGTATGGGTTTGTTTTACGCATGATATCACAATTGGCCAATTAACAGCTGGCCATGAACCAGTTCGGACTAAATAGGATTTGCAAAAGTCGTTACGCTTTTCAGGTGGACTGACGATCGCGGTACCAGACGTATCGGCATCTTTTTTCTTCATGTTACTTCCCGTCACCGGTCTAGGTATTTTACGTCAGGCGTGAATGAAATGGACTACGCCATCGGAAGCCATAAGTTATTTTCTAGTATTTCTCATCGTCGCCGACGCCGACTATCACGTGGGGAAGAGGTAGGGTCTCGGCAAATATCACGTAATTTTTTTTTCAGCAATAAACAGTGTAAGAGTTAGAAGAGAGAAATGGGGTTAAATTAAGTCAAATATAGCTAAATACTACACAATAATATTTTTGGCGGTTATGCGAAGTCCACAAATTATATAAAAATAATTAAAGCAAAATATATTTTTATTTTTTTAAGTAAATCCAACGCATCAACCACAGATTAATGTATAAGTTACACTAAAATACGCATTTAGAGAAATCTTACATGAGATTTGGGGAGCGGGTGTGCGGGTTGAGTCATATCTCATTATTATCTCACCAGGGGGAAGGTGAGGGTAGAAAATACGTCTATATCGCCTCACGTAATGGACGCCCCTAATACCGCCCCCACGTCACGCCGCCATCACCTGGCCCACCACCATGACATGATAGAATAGAATAGAATCATTTTTATTCAATATAGATTACAAAAATACTTATTGAATTTACCACTGGTTCAGAAAAACTCTGTCCCAGGAAGAAACAGCAAAAAACCTGTCGGAACTTTTTTAAACATTAATTTACAATATAATACTTTATACAATGGGGGGGGGGGGGGTGAGTCGCTCGCGTCCGTAGACTTCGACCACCTAACCTTAGGCCCACCCTACACGTGTCCCCTGGGTGGTGCTAAACGAGCGACAAAGCCCAAAAAATAGACTCGGCTTCTCGCCGTATGGTAGCGGCGTAAAATCTACCACCACCCCTTGTTCGCACCATGAGTCAGGAAATAATAGAAATGGCCCCGAGTCTACTCGAAGTCGAGTCAACTCGTCAAGGCGTCACGTTCTGTCTCCCGGAGGGGCGAAAAGTGGACGCGGAAACCCGTCTGGCTACGCTGAACGTATGTGGAGGAATGAATGATAAGATGGATGAAGTATGCGATGAATGATGAATGACAGAGGAATAGATGTGTTATGTGTGAATGAGACGAAACGAAAGGGAAAGGATGCCACTGCACATGGCACGTATACCGCGTATTGGTCTGGTGTAGACGAGACCGAACGGGCATGCCAGGGAGTCGGTTTCATCCTTTCAGAAAGAATGGGTCAATGTGTGAAAGAGTATGAATGTGTAAGCCCGAGGCTGCTATGGATACGAATGAAAGTGGGCTTAAAGAAGCTGTTCCTGCTAGGGGTGTACGCCCCAGACATGTCTAAGCCCACTTACATCCGAGAGCAGTTTTGGGACATGGTAAGGATGGTGTTGACAAAATGTAAGGAAAATGAAAATATTATTATGGTAGGAGACTTAATGGAAGGGTTGGGGTGAAGAGGTCTGGTTATGAAAGGATATTGGGAACGTTTGGTGATGAAAGTATAAATGAGAATGGTGAAGACCTCCTCACCGTATGTGTGGAAAAGAATCTTTTTGTGACGAATACTTTTTTTCGTCATAAGAAGATTCACATGTATACATGGGAAAGAGGTAATGATAGAAGCATGATAGATTTCGTAATTGTGAATGAAACAATGAGGAGCGCAGTCGTAGATACAAGGGTTTACCGGGGGTCCATCGTAGGGACGGATCATTACTTGGTCTTATGTCGAATTAATGGTCTTTTCAAGCGTTGGCGGCATCGGACATCTGTGTCTACCACTGCGTTACAGCGTATAATAATAGAGAAGTTACAAGATGAAGATGTGAAAGAGTAGAAGTATAAATGTAGACTGAGAGAAAATATTAGATGTTTGAATGAGTTGTGTATGAATGATTTAGACTTGAATACTGTGTGGGATAATATTAAGAAAGGTTTGGTGGATGCCGCCACCGAAGTATGTGGTGTAAGTAAGAGTGCAAATGAAAGGAAAAGTAATACGTTGTGGTGGGATGATGAGGTACGGGTGGAAGTTGAATCAAAGAAGAAAGCATGGTTAGATTTACTAGCAACCAAAGCTGGTAATTCTTCAGGTATGAATGATGAGATTGAAAGAAAAAAGGCAGTATTTAGACGTCTAAATAAGAGAGTAAAAAAAGTTGTTGAAAGGAAAAAGAAAGAAAGACGAAAGAGATAGAAGGATATCTGATAATTTCCAGGCTAACATAAAAATTTTCTGGAAACTCCTAAGAACTGCCAGGGGAAATACAAAACAGCCTATAATTAATGTTATAAGAGACGAGAATGGATGTATTCTGAATGATGAAGTTTCGAATTTAAACAGATGGAAGGAATACTTTGTAAGCGTGTTTATGAGTGAAGAGTCGTCTGAATTAAATGAACTAGAAATTCCGAAAGAAGTGGAAAGGGGTATGGAGATAAGTTTAGATGAAATAATGAAAGCAATGAAAAGCATGAAAGCAGGTAAGGCAGCTGGATATGATAGAGTATCACTCGAGATGCTAAGGGCTGGAGAGTTGTGTGACCTTGTTTAATTTATGTTGGGAATTAAAACGGGTACCGGATGACTGGTGTAAAGCAGTTATAGTACCAATATATAAAGGAAAAGGGTCACAGCAGGACTGCAAAAACTACCGTGGTATCAGCTTGCTTAGTATTATGGGTAAACTGTATGCTAAGGTGTTAATTGAAAGAGTTATGAAAGAAACTGATGGAAAAATTTGGGATGTGCAAGCGGGTTTTAGAAAGGGAATTGGGTGTACAGATCAAGTCTTTTCCATGCGCATGATTGCGGAGAAGTTTTTGGCCAAAAACCAGAAAGTTTTTTGTGCGTTCATGGACTTGGAAAAGGCTTATGACAGAGTGGACAGGAATGTGTTATGGCAAACACTGAACTCATATGGGTTGAGCGCTGGTTTGATACAGGTATTAAGGTCTCTTTATAGGGACTCTAGTGCTTGTGTCAGGATCAATGGGGTCTACTCGGACTGGTTTAGCATCCAAAAAGGTGTCAGACAGGGCTGTGTAGCTTCCCCTTGGCTGTTCGACCTATTTATGGACAGGTGTTTGCAAACTTTGAAAGATGAAGAATGTGGGTTAAGAATGGGCGAGTTAACCGTCAAATGCCTTTTGTATGCCAATGATCAAGTCATATTTGCGTCATCGGCGGCTGAGTTGCAAATGATGGTTACATTTTTTGAAAATGGGCCACGTTAGAAGTACCCTTAACCGACGAACATGTATGCGTAGATATATGGATGTAAAGGAGGCGAAAGAGGTATGTCAGGATCGTGCCAAATGGAAGTCCGTAGTCTCTGCCTACCCCTCTGGGTGACAGGCGTGAGTGTTTATGTTTATGTTATGTTTACTTTATACAATTAAGTATGCAAACGTTAAGAAACAGCAAGGTAGTGATTTTTATACTACCTTCTGAAATATTAATATGTATGGCTACATGCAACAGGGGAATATCATCAATATCATTATTATTTCTTTTATTGTATTATAAGTCGAATTAAATTACTAAAAATAAAATTTTAATGAAAGTTAAAGGTCGACTTTAAAGAACTAAAAAGAATAAAATGATTAATACATAAGGTCCTCAGAAATTGGTGCCACAACATTGTAAAAGAAATTACAACGCGACTTCAGAAATAGCTATTATTTTTTAATCGTTTAAATAGACTAATGATTATCAGAATCTATATAATATTTTACTCCATACTGTGTTTAATTAGAAAATGTTGTGTTTATTGAGTAAAAAACGAATAAAGATTATTATATACTTTCATAAATTTTTTTCATTAATAATTATTTATAAATTTCTTACATCGAAATTGTAATATTATTCAGTGAAAAAGTATATTTATAATATTCATGGTTACTCCATATTCAAAGACTCAAAGTGTGTTATTGTTTAGTCTGCTTGCGGTTTCGGCAAATGCGCATCCAGGTCACGATGCAAAGGTCGTTCTAATCATCTGTAACGTCAGTTTTTAAGCCATTGTTTAAAATACAATAAGATATCTTTACGGCTTTTGTCTTTAATGGAGAAGGCTAAGTTATTCAATCAAAAATATAACAACTTGCCGCCGTGGTAGCTCAGGGGCTAAGTGCTCGCTGTAAACCTCATATGCCGGCACCAATGAAATTGTTACATGCAATTTTAAGTGCTGATTTATCACATAAAGTTAAGTTGAAGTTACATCCTATATACGTCCCACTCCTGGGCACAGGCCTTCGCTCATTTCTGGGAGAGTTTTAGGGCAAGTTATTGTCCGCCGCGCTGCCCCAATGCGTTTGGCGATCTTCGCATGTCTTCGAAATATTTTTATTCTTATTTCTCAGACATGCATGTTTTCTCACAATGTTTTCCTTCACCGCGGAGCACGTGGTAAATCAGCACTTCAAATTGCAATTAACAATTTCGTTGGTGCCGGCCGGGATCAACCCGGTTTGCTCGCGCACTGTGAAATTTACATAGCAAGCGCTAACCATCTGAGCTTACACGGGTCCCTTATCACATGATCGGCGGTAACTGAAAACATCGTGAGGAACCTGCATGTCTGAGAAATAAAAGAAAATAATATTTCGAAGACAATTGTACAGCTGTATGGCAGCGCGGCGGACATTTCCTTGCCCTAAACCCTCCAAAGAATGTGAGGAGGCCTGTGCCCAGCAGTGGGGCGTAGACTGTTACTTAAGTTTTAACTTTTTATAACAACCTAAGAAATCAACTTGAAGGTACTTGAAATTTCTAATGGATACTTATTTAAGAACAGCTCTACCGACGACAAAAACTAAGTATTTTTCAATGATATCAAATAACCGTGGTGGCATAATGCCACGCTGCATGATTGTAGTTATAATACAGATTAGATGGATTGAGCAGCTAGACCGTAACTTACCACAGTATACTACATAGACTGTGCTTATACGCCGGCATTCAAATGCATAAACTTGTAGTCTATTTATTATAGCGACGCATGTAAAATTAACGTGTAGGCTAACCGGAAGTTAGTTCTTTTGATACGGCAGAATAAAGAGGCACAAGACGTAAATTAATTTATTTTAGTACTAAACATAGGTCTCTTACTAGGAATATCACAAGGCACGGTAACATGCCGTCGCCAACTATCAACTCTCTGCATTTCATACCAGGTCGTCGCTCCATCTCTAGTAAGGGATGTGGCGGCGCTGTCGTCGCGCCGCAAGCGAAACACACAGAAGCCTAAATCACGCCATCAAAATTCCGAATCATAAACAGTATATATAAAACATCTCCGAACTATCACACGGAGCGTTGGCCGCTCCCCGGGCAGAACATCTTGCCCGGCGGGAGATCTCCCCTTTTCCTACCACGGCCATAGAGCCATCTTAGATTTTGCTGGTACGAGACTGACACTCGAGAAACTTTTTTAGTCATCAGTTCTCAGAGCAGAGAAGATTCACGTCTCAAATCCATATGTCATCATCGGCACCACGCTTTGGTTGTTTCACAATGTGTCACACGATCTTGTTTTCAATGACGATAAGATGTGTCGTTATCTCCGGAATGCAACGAATATTACATACATAAACACTCACGTCTGTCACCCAGAGGGGTAGGCAGAGACTACAGACTTCCATTTGGCACGATTCTGACACACCTCTCTCGCCTCCTTCACATCCATACACCTCCGCATACATGCTCGTTGGTTAAGGGTACTCCTAATTTGGCCCGTTTTCAATAAATCGCCAATTTGGTCGACAAATTTTCGCCTAGGACGTCCCTTTCCGACTCTGCCATTCACTTCTGCAACATAAATTTTCATTGTCACTCTTTCCTCATTCATTCTTTCCACATGACCAAACCACCGAAGCATTCCTTTCTTAATCCTGGTCACAACATCATCTTGCAAACCACACTCTTCTCTTATTACACAATTTCTTACCCTGTCATTAAGATTCAGCGAATATTGTTTCAAAATATGGTTAAATACAGTCTCTCTCTTTTCTTTATTATTAGCTAAACTTCTTTAACCTTTTCACTGTCCCGTGCACTACATATACTCGTAGGTCATTGCTGTTATCTATAATATATGTCTTACTATTCAGATAACCGGACAGTGAAAGTATTAAGCATTCAATGCCGTCATTAAAAATATACTGTCCAAATAAATATATTACACTTAGACTAGTACTTACAGAATACAAAAATACCCCACTTACCGTTACAGCGTATTAAAGTCCTGCTGTACATACGCCTCCCCTATAGATTGCCTCTGGATATTTGCTATACTTGCCAAGCTTAGCAAACGGGTTGGCACTCACCGTTTCTTATTTTTAGTCGCTACGCCGCTGCCCATCTCCTGATTTGTTTTTCTCTGTCGCCTCATACGACACCAAAAACGCAAAAATAAGGACGCTGATATCTTACGGTGCGGATGTGCTTATCGCCCGGATATTACCAAAAGTAATATCGGGTAACATACACATAGGTTAACGTTTCCTGTTTGTTTATTATGTATGAAGCGAGCTTCTAATACTTAATATCTAATATAGAATTTATAAGCATTTATTGCAAAAATTCAGTACTCGCTCTGTTTCGGCACACTGCGAGGAGGGACTACCATGCAAAGTGCAAACACACGCACTTGTATCTTTACTGTGTGATCTTTGTGGGTCTGACCTTTCATTAAATGATAATGTCTCATCGCGCAATCGTAGAGATCGTCATTATTAAGATCTAAAAGAAAACTATCTGCTTACCCTTTTTTATCTTAGAATATTTTAATATTTTTTACATATTTGACAAGACAAAAGTGATTAAATCTAATCTAAAATCTAAAAATACAAAGGAGGCGTGTGCAGTTTTAAATTAGACTATCTAATTAAACATCAATAATATGTTATGTAACTTATTTCGAATATTATTTCTTATTTTGAAATTATTAATTAGAATCCTTCGAACACTTTTAGATGCTTATAACCATTAATGTGCTATATAACTTATAACAATCATATCATAACTATACTAATTATCATATAATAATCATAAGATGGACATTCTGTGTCTATAACACACAAAAAAAAACAAAAAACTCTACCTCAAAGATTTCGTTAGTCTTATTTAGTGGTTTCAACAGAAAGATCAGAATTTGTTTGCGAAACTCAACGACTAACTATCAAAAGAAGTTGTCCAATACATAGAAATTTCGTAATTTCAATTGTTAAAAAGAATTACAGACTTGAACTCAGCCCTATTTGCGAACAACACAGATCTATGAAGATGGAAGCGACAGCAGCCTAATGGCAGCATGTGGACTGCAAACTCAAAGGTCGTAAGCTACTTCTAACACAAATATTTTAAGCTCAGCAGGAGTGGTTAAAGGGAATATTGATTGCTAGTATATTTCCAAAAAAAAAAAAACGTGAAAGCGCAGATTCTACATACGTGTATAACGGTGAAAGTAAGCTCGAAAGCATCTTCCAATTTACCTGTAACAAAAGATTTGTTGATAAAATGTGTGAATAAATATTTAATTCTATATCACAACATAAACAAATTTACAACAATAAAAATTATAATAATATAACCCTACTCCTCGAGATATAGCGCCATGAACGCAGTCTGCATATCCTCGCTTACCAAGCCTCAAGGGGAGAAAAAATGCAGCATAAAATTAAAAACATATTAAATATTTAAGATAATGTCATCATCGGCACCACGCTTTGGTTGTTTCACAATGTGTCACACGATCTTGTTTTCAATGACGAGATGATGTGTCGTTATCTCCGGAATGCAACGAAACTTACGAATATTAACAAGTTCGTTTGCCTGAAGTGATGACACGAAATAACGATGGCCGAATACACCAAGAATATATTTTATTTTGCAACATTAGTGCCAGGGAGAACTTTAAAGAAATATTAAATGAGAAAATACATAGAACAACGTCAAAATAACAAAATCAATGCTCACTACACTTCTACTGATCCCAAGAAAACAACAAATGCCGCGTTTTTATTGAGATGCTTGAGCGTTTTGTTGCGTTTGTTTGTGTTGCGAAAGTTGTGATATAATATCTAATTATATAATATATTATTATTTAAAAGCCTTAATCTATAAGTCTTTAATAATAGGTTAAACTAGGAACCTGAACTAGGATAAACCTGTATCTCAGGTGTATGTGCTAATAGATACATTATTATATTTTTTTTTGTTTCTTACATAAAATGAATAATATACCAATTGATTAGGGTCAATCTCTTTTTAATAGATATTGTACATTAATTTCAAAATAAAGGCAAAAAAATTAGCAATACATCTTCCTATCCTGTAAGTTTTAGTATAAATTGTTGTTAAAAGTAAAGTGTTGCTTAACTTTTTTACTTTTTTACTCCCATTCCGATGAGCCTTTTCTCAATGATACCTTTATGAAATTTATGAACATTTTTCCTTTCTTTTTATCATAGGTTTTAATTAAATTGCCTAAGTCATTAACTGATTTGTTAGCGACTAAATGCATGTTGTAAGGGTTTACTTAATTTTGATAAAACTATATGTGAAATGATACTATATATACAGAAACTCGGTTGTATATGTAAACAAATAAATGTGATTCGGGTGTTCGACATGGAGTGTCCACCTAAGTGGACCATATTAAAATTTATTATATATTATATAATCTTATTACTAAACGTAAGTTAATTGCAAATACCCTATGAAAAATAATAATCCAATTACTAAAACAGAATTTATTTTTCTTTACAGAATCACCAGGTTGTAAGTCAAAACACACTTCAAAGTGCGCTAGCTTTACCGTCAGGTCCAATCATATACAGAGAGTGTGTCAAAGAGGGGTCTAATTCAAACAACGCTTCACCAACACCACAATTGTTGAATACTGTACTAACGATAGCGGCAGCGAAAGGAGTGCTTCCTGATATACTTCCACAAATACAACCAACTAGAACAGTATCACCAGAGACAAAGTCTACAACCCAAGAACTCACGCCGCAAAATATTGATATCGTGCCTCTATCGCAATCTACCTCTTTTTATAAACAAGAGCCGGTTTTTGCAAATACTCAATCAATAGCCACAGCTATACCTAAACCGAATGCAATCATTCCAACTTCATCTACAGCATACACACCTCCAAATTTTGTTAGAGTACCTACAGTCCCACCACTTATAATTTCTCCTGGCTTAAATCAAAATACTCAACAAAATAATCCATTTATTCCTTCCATTTCTGAATTTGCACAGCTACAGTCACCAGTGCTAAATCCACAGACTATAGAAGAACCGTGTCATTGTTCTCAAGTTAGCGAAAAATCAGAACAAATGACATTAGCGCCAGCATTGATAATTGAAAGCACACCGAGCACATTGGAAATTACAAACGAATCAAATTTGGAACCGATATGTACAAATTCAATTTTGACGACAGAATATGGTCAATCGTTTCCAATTAATTTACACATTACGATACCACCACCCAATATAGAGGCTCCACGAATTACATTTATAAATGCGGCGTTACCAACACCATCGCCGGAAAAGACTGCTTCCGTAGATGAGAGTTCATTCACAAACCCTAACTTTTTAAATGGATATTTATCACAACCTCTACCTCAACAGGTCATTATCAAAAAGAAGAAATCGTTTCTAAAAGACTGGTTGCCATTTATTATTTTTGCAATGTTTAACAACGACCGTGGAAGCTGCATTAATGCTGAATCTTGCTGTTGCTGTCCTTGTAATTCTGGGGGTGGTAGCTCCATACCAATTCCATATCCTATACCAATTCCGATTAATAGTCCAATAATAAATTCAGGATTTTTGAGTCCAAAGTTATGTAGAAACCGAGACTCTAAAAGTAATAGGTATGATGCTGATGATGCTGATGATGGGGATTGATTATAATGAACTTATCCTTATCAATATTTTAATTAATAGTAAAATATTAAAAATAATGTTGTAGTAGAACCCGTGGGTACCTAAAAAATATCAAACAAAGAAGACCATAGATTCGTCGTTACCAGGAGACTGACAGCAAATGCTTCGTGAAATGTTGTACTGTAAATATATTGGCTGTCTTACCTTTTAAACCGGAATACAGCAGTAGACGCTTCGCTGCTTGACTGCCTTACGATGGTGGTACCATGTGCCAACGCAGACGCGTTCTTGGGCAGACAAGTAGCTCTACTTAGTCGTTAACAATTGAATAATAATATATAACAATGGTTTATTTATTTATTGTAAATTAATAAGTATTAGAATAAAATAATTTTCCAAAGAAAAACGTGTCTTATTACACATTTTCATAGTTTAGTTCACCGAGAGACCGTAACTATGCATGATAACAATATGTATTGTTAGTTTTTTATCAGGTGGCAATTTACGGAAAGGAGACTACCATTACAGAAATGAGATGACTTTTTCTGGTTGACAAACTTTCATTATTATACAACATTGACAGTAACAGTAGTTCTATTAAATTATATTTTTGAAATGTGAACCTTAAGAACTCTTCCTGAATGAGGCAAAATCTGAAACTGTGTCGGAGACGTATGGATAAGCAAAATGTCAGGAAGCAAAAATTTTGCGTGTTTTACAAAGACGCATCTGGCTTTGGATTTAAGCCCACGCTCTATAATTTAGTGTCAGGAACGTTGACCCATATGTCATGTTACAATTTTATACTTCAAATCTAAATAATTTCTTTGATTCTCTAATTGATATGTATTTTATAATATTAGTTCTCTTTTTACTTTTCTCTTTATTTTCATTGTAATGATTGCCACACATATAAAATACAATTATTTTAGTCTTCTAAATACAGATGTAAGTACTTAAAGTTTTTCCCTTCTATATTCTTTATAATATTTTATTATTAGTTATTACTCGTAAGTGAAAAACAATCAACCACCAAATAAATGAAAAATAAACTATAATTTCTTTATTAAAAATAAATTCAGAATACTGAGGTATGTAACAATTGTCCAAAATGTCATATTTATTCGCACCAAAATTAGCAATTAAACAGAAAAATCGTTGAAGAATTATAATATTGTGGAACTTAGTGTTTCGACACTTTTTTTAAAATAAAGTCAAACAGATCCATATTTCATACATATTATCTTGAAACACGTGAGATAAAGTCCTAAAGATATGATGTAATAGTTGAGATTAGATAAAGTTGTTGCCAGTGAAGAAATACTTTGAAATATAACATAGAACCTATAAAATTGAAAATATTTATATTTCTAAAGCACTTACGTTTCCACTTGCTTCACATGATGAGTCACATACTTTGATATCTAGTCTTATTTTAAAATAGCGCAACACGTTAAAACTATGAGGAATCTTTTTGTAGTAATTTGTGCAATACTAAGTGTAATATTTCTTAATAATTTCGAAGTAAGTTTCAAAAAATTACATATTTTGTGCGATCAAATTTTTATAGTGCCGTTATGAGCCGTTTTAACTTCCCAAACGTATCTTAACTATAAATTAAAATAATTAAGATGAGAAAATCAATTAAAGTATCCAAAATATGTACTTGTGAATATTAGTTAATTTATTTTCTCTGTCTTTAATAAATAAGACTTTATTAATTATTATTTTAATAAAGCGTTACATTGTATTTTTTATTTTTAGGTGGTGTCAACCCAAGCTATAGCTCCAATCGGATACGGTTCAACACCAATTGTGTACTCACAGAATGATGACGACAATCTTGGCATGTTGCTTACAATTCTGCTACTTGCAAGTCGGAGCAGGAATTGCAACGGCATGTGCGGACATACGTGCAGTTGCTGTAACTGCTGCAGTTGTGGGGACGGCTCCAAAAGTATCCCTATTCCGTATCCTATCCCATTTCCCACCAATAACGCAATAGTTAGCCCCCGCTACAATCCATACTACGACGATGATGAAGAAGATGACGACGATGATGAACAAGATAACGAAAGTAGGCCATCGAACAATCATAAAGCTAATGATGAAAAAACAGATCACTACAAGCGAAAAGACAAAGATAATCCTTTACCAGGGGAGATAATAGTAGAAGAAGAAGAGGAAGAAGTAGAGGATGTACCGATACCGGAAAAAGCGTAGTTCCGTTGACTTTGAAAAATACGCACTGTGTTCGATTTTTATTAAAAAGAATGGAGTGACTTATTTCGTAATGGACTCTTATAAACTATTAATTAAGTTATATTAGGAAATTATGTGCTTTAATTATTAAACCTATGAATAAGTGTTATATTTGAATTGTTTATCTGTTCATAGTTCAAGATATATTTATGATGATTGTTGACAAGTGCAATAAGAGTATAGTATAATATACAACGTATCATTTAATTCAGAACGTTTTTCTTACTGAAATAAATAATTGTGTTTATTGGAGATATTTATTATTTTCGGATCTGAATTTTAATTGTCTTTAGATCTTTCATCTATACTTTAATAGAATAAACTTTTTTAAAACCCCAATCCTCCTAGCAACAAAACTTTGTAGCCGTAGTTTGATCACCCACAGTGAAAGAGTAACTGCTCCGAGTGGAACTGACAGAATGTGTACTGGAGTGGGTGTTGGGTTAGAGAAGGCAGGGTAGTTTTTGTTATACCGATTGAAAGGGATACCGTAGAGCAAGCATTGGGTGCGTTTGGCAAAAAAAGCGCTAGCAAGCGCTTACTAGCGCTAAAATAGTTTTCGGCCAGGACACGATAGCTACTTCAGTAGCGCTGACACAATCCGCCATTTTGCTTATTTATTTTGTTTGTTTTGAAGTAGAGTTCATAAGTTGTTTTGTGCAATATTAGTTTTAAGTAATTTAATCACATGAATAGACATATACATGTTATTAAAAATTCATGGTTGGTAAGTTTTTAATATGAATACTTTACAAACATATATTTAAATTAGTTTAGGTTCCCCGGTTAAAACTAACTTCGTGTCCTAGAGGAAAATAGCTACTTACGAAGAATGTGGAGTAGTACTGAATCCAAAGAAGGGACTGGCTGCGTAAACTATTGGAAAATAGACCAAAAAACAACTCAGTGGAGAGGCTTATTGGTAACTTCGAATAAATAGAAAGTTTCAAGTTGATTTCATTAAACCATTTTCGTCAGTCTCGAGCACAGGTGCAGACTAACCAGGTACTCGGTATTCTACAGGATACATTCCGATGAGTGTGCGCAATTACATGATTTAATTCTTCCCGCCTCTTTTTTCAATTGGACCACGAGATTCGCGGTTCTTAACCGCTTAGTTGTCAACATTCCACGCATCGAAGTAAACGGCTTGTTTTCTCTTTAAGTAATGCAGAAGCAGTGTAATAGAGTGGCTATTTAGATATTTATGTGTCCTCGATTTAACTTCAAAATGTTGATGATTTGTAGAACGCCTCATTATGAGGTAAAAGGGTCTCCAGTTCTCTACACTCACCACACGAAACACAGCAGCATCAAGCTGCTATTTTACGCTGGTGTTCTATGACAGCGTGTTATTTCCTCAGTTGAGCTGACTAATTCGTGCTGCAACTATAATAAAGCTGCAGTGTGGCTCTAACAAGTTAATTCTTCATTATCACTTATCACCAGGAGCCTTTAATTATAATAAGTAAGAAATCACGGGATTATGGTTCTAGTTAAATATATAGTTGATTTACAACTTAGGAAAATGCCAAAGAGAGTTCTTCTATCAAAAATGGCAAATCTCCAGTGGGGAATGTTTCAACGAAATTATGAGTTGACGTTAAATTTGTAGCCCAAAAATATTTATGAGCTGGGAAGTGAAAGGAAATCTTTTAATTTTTGGCAGTAATTAATTAAAATATTATTGATCAAACGTTAATTTTTAGTGTTCTGTTTTTCTCAGATTTTTTTTACATCGATGATTGAAATTTGCCAAAGTTATTAAATGCTGTTACCCAAATATAAGTAGGGTAGGAGATTATTTAAAATCTTTGAAGTATAATTTAAAAAATACAAATTATATTTTCTGAAATTTCCATTTATTAATAATTTACTTAAAAGATAGTTAAAATGCTCTTTTCCACCGTAACTCCTCAAAGTAGTGTTAACCAAACCTCAAAAAGGTCACAAATATTTAGATTCCGTAAATATTTAAGAAATATAATTATTACAATATTTCAAATATTTATAATTTTATTCTAAAACAAAGTCGAATAAGTTCTACAGAATCAAATATGAATGTTGGAAAAAAAACAAAGCCAATGAGTGAGAAAAAATTATGTTCAAATATGAGGTTCCTCGGACCGAAGTGTATTAAAGACAATTGGAATTATAGGTTTTTTTAACTAAGGTTGACAATCCAGCACGAAATCCACCTAATTGTAGTTAGACGTTGTAGCCTATGACAGCTGCATCACTGTATCTATACTTGATAAAGAATCAAAACGCAGATGTGTTGTTAGCTTAAAAATAAAGTGCCGTGTTTTCAGTAAAAACGATTTCCAGTTCTCGTCACAGACGAAACAGTAGAATTATGTTGCTATTTCCAGTTGGTATTCTATGCAAGCGGGATAAATCACCGTAGCTCTACCACGTCAAAAATCTATCGATCTAACTAATTTAAGAACACTCTACTGATATTAAACAGTAGATTGTTATCCGTTTTTAAAATGACGGTAATATATATGTAATATATAGATTGCCTACACTGGGATATAAATAGTTTTGATCGAAATATTTTCATATTTGGTGGTTTCGGGTGCTTTACAGCACATCTCGGTCAAAGAAGGAGGGGGGAGGGGGTACTAAGGTGTTTGATATCCCGATGTTATTAGCCCGACTACCTTCAGTAATGTTCGTACATTTTATACCGGCAATTATCATCATTCCGTTACCGCTACAGTCCATCAATAGTCCACCGCTGACAATAAATTGCCTCATACGAGATATATTTATCATTTTAGTCAGTAAACGCACTCTTGTTTTTTTATACTAGAGGGGGCAAACGAACATACGGCTCACCTGATGGTAAGTGACTACCGTCGCCCATGAACAACCGCAACACCAGGGGAATTGCAGATGCGTTGCCGGCCTTTTAGAAAGGAGTAAGCTCTTTTCTTGAAGATCCCTAAGTCGCATCGGTCCGGAAAAAGCGCCAGTGATAAGCAGTTCCACAGAGAAGTTGTACCAGGAAAAAAACTCCTAGTAATTTTTATAAATCTGTCCAACACACAGTGGTGGACAGATTTATAACTTGGGTTGGCATCTGCCAGTTTATATTTATTTTTAGTTGTTATTAGAAGAATCTGCTGTCTACATCCTGGGTCTCTTCCCTTTGTTACCTCTTATGAGCCGCCACGACACGGTTAGTAATAGAATTATGTTTTAAATAAAAAAAGATTGATAATAATATTTCAAAGATGTATGCTTATCATTTAAATTTCGTAAGTTATTTAGTATAGTGGTTTCTCTATATTACTTTGCTTTGATATTACCATTAATCAGTCGGAATTTGACGTGCTTGTGTATGTATGCTTGCAACTATTCGCATCAATGCTTAAATATGAAACTTGAATTATAATAAAATTAAAAAAATAAATTGAGGAATTGCGTTAGGAACGTGATAAAAAGATGTTGTTTAATGTTAAGTAACAGATAACGTATCTTTTTTGAACAGATAACAAATAAACGATTACATTATACTAATAAAAAAGATATATAATTGTATGTAACAGTTACAAAATGCTCATTTTATTTGTGTCCGAAATGGCACTAGCCAGATTGTTAACGATAATAATATTCAATCTTCCTTGGCAGGTAATCGAAAATAAGATTAATTCAAAATGACACATTTTCGTGCAATAAAAAACAGTTAAAAATAGTTCTTATATAATTTCAGGCAAGCAACGGACAACAAAATGGTGTTTCAACAAGTAATCTGGCATCTCAACAAGCTTTACAAAATAGTGTTGGGTTTATCCCACAAAATCTAAACCAAAATGTTGATTTTGGAAATACTAATGTACAACATGGAAGTCCACAACAAAGCTTAAGTATGCAGCAGCTTTCAAATATACCGATGCAAACATTTAATATTCAGCAACCAGCCGGTTCTCAACCGCAAGTTAATTCGCAACTAGTAAGTTTCCAACCAGTCGTACAATCTATTAACCTTCAACCTGAAGTATCTCAAGGTTTAAATTTACAAGAAAACGTATCAAAACATGTTAATGTAGATCAAATTTTATCACATCCTGGTAATTTTCAGCAAGGAACGTTAGTCCAGCCTACGAATTCACAGCCATGCTTGAATACAAACTCAGCAGCCCATTCTGTGAGTTTACAAACGTCAGTGCCAGTACAATCTCTGAATTTCCAACAAGTTTATCCCTTACATTTGCAACAATCACGGGACGTTGAAGCTGGAAATTCACAACAACAAACGTCGCTGCAGTCAGTAAACTTACAAGATACACTTCCTCTAAATTTTCAGCAACAAGCAGAACCTCAGTGGATTAATCTAAACCAAGAACAAGTGCCACATCATGTCGTTGTACAACAACAGGCTTCACCACAATCTGTTCATGTGAAACCGCTGTCGATTGTCCAACCAGTGACTTATCAACAGACTGTGCCAGTACATGATTCACCTAATGCTATACAATTAAATTTACAACAGCCATCCTCATCATTGCAGAAGTCTTCTTGTAGTCCAATGTCGAACCAACAAACAAGCTTACAACAGAACCAACAACAACAAATACCTCTTAATAATATTGGTGGCTATCAAGATATTTCGTATCAAAAACCATATCAGCAGACCGAAGTTTCTTCGTTGCCTACACAAGCACATTTGGTAAAAGTTTCAGTGAGTCCTAATCCAACGGTGATAGCAGCCATGCCCGCTGGATCAACTAATAGTCACGTTGTTAAACAAACAACAGATCACGTTTATGTTGTAAGTCCTCAAAACTATGTTTCTTCCCCAACGTATAAGCCTGTAGTTATCACAGATAATTCACCATATATTTCAACAGGACCCACAGTTGGTACAATTACGACTGTTTCGAATTCTGTGCCAGTATTATCTACAAATCACCTAACCGACAATTATAATCAACATCTGGAATTAAGAGAAAACTCAGGATCAAATTTAAAAATACCGGATGTAGCGTTGAATATTTTACAAGGTCAATTGCCTATTACTTCCTTGTTAAATCCACCAACATCATCTATCCAGTCCGCTTTGTTATCATCTATTTTATCTTCCATAAAAGGTCCTTCTGCTTCTTCCCAATATGTAGTGTCGCCGAATTATTCAGCACCGACGATTTTAAATCCACAATTTAGTTCTCAAAGCTCAAAGTTAAGTTTAAAGAGTTTGTTACCCATTTTATTAAATTTACTGCAAGATAAATATTCAAACTGCGGATGTCGACACTGTTGTAATTGTGAATGTTCACAAAATAATAACATTTTTCACGAACCTCATACAACTTCCCAACATTTTAACGAAAAACTGTTAACGGATTTAGAAGAAACGCCTATAAAAAATAACGAATATAAAGAAGTAAGAGATACACCTGTGCATCAGAAAGATCGTAAGACACCGCACAAGAATGTGAATATAATCCCAGATGACAGTACAGAGTTAGATGACGAGAATTTGAGTAGTTTAGAGGAGGATGAAGAATATGACTCTAACGAAAATTATGACGATGATTCGTAAAATAACATTCAGAAATTAATTTGATTTCTTATGTGTTCTTATTCTTTAAGTATTTATTATTTATAGATTTAAGTTTAATAAATTTTACCTTTTATATTTATAACGGCTTTCAATTTAATGATATTGCACTTAGGGCCAGGTTGGACAAAATATCATAATTTAGACATGATTTGGCATTTGACACTGTAATTTACCGTCGAATATTTTTCGAAAACAATATTGAATTAGATTATTTGGCTACATTTTTACTTAAATCCTTTATTTCTAAATAATAAGCAATAACTTTCAAATAAATTTTAAGATATTTTTTTTTGTCCACTGAATGTCGCACGCTTAATTTGAGCTGCATCATATGCATCGGAGGAGGGAGTAACTAAGAGCCTTTTAACGTAAGTAATCCTTGCCTTAATACTCGTTTTACAATAATAGTATTAATATAGATTCATAATTTTACGATAACAACGTAAAATAATGACGCATGCAAAGTTACATCTAGCACCTGTTCTTGACAATGTCCAATTGCTATTATCTCTGAACTTTGTTCTCATAGTTAACAAAGACATCTGTACAATGGTAAATGATAGTAACATAATATATAAACTAGCGGGATGCTTAGTTGCACAATAGTTTCTCAACATGAGCTCTCTAAAATGGATTTTATTTTTCATCTCCATTGTCGCTTTTAATGTAAGTATTTTGTTTAAATATACTATTTATGTAATTGTAGCAGCAAACATATTATTTCTGCTCTGTGCTTTCAATGGAAAAAAAACGTCCCGATACCATCCACACCATCTGGATGCTTGGCGGTCCACCACAGTACGTTTCAAAAGGAGTTTTCTTCCGCGTACAACCTCTCTGTGGAATAGTTTACCACCGGCGATTTTTCCGGACCGATACGACCTGGGGACTTTCAATAAAAGAGCTTAATCCCTTCTAAAGGGCCGGCAACGCACCTGCAATTCCCCTGGTGTTGCGGTTGATCATGGGCGGCGGTAGTCACTTAACATCAGGTGAGCCGCATGCTCGTTTGCCCTCTCTTCTATAAAAAAAAGTTTCAAAGTTCATTCAAAGGTTACTTTTAAGCAAATGAAATATATTTATTTATTTACACTACATGAAGTAACTCAATGTGAATGGAAACAGACTGAGGAAATATTTAAGTCAGAGAATTAAAATATTACGCAAGTTACATGGGTCATCGTAACGGACTCCACTAGTAAATTATCACTTTTATAATTAAATGATACCATATTTTTAATAGGGGCGGAAGTGACAGACGAGGACGTCACGCTGTGTGCACGTTAATGTTGTGTGTTGTGGCTAAGATACCTGAATTCGTTCTTGACTAAAAATTAAATCAGATGCGTTTTCATGCTAAGGAATGGAGTAACTCGTTACTAATAAAAAGGGTTCTTATCACTAACACTACAAAACAGCAGTATTACGCAGCAATATCAAGCCGATATTCTATACGAGCGTGATCCTTCCCCAATCGTGCCAACCCATTCCTGTTGGAGCCATTTTAGGTTACAGTGTGCTACACAATAATATCATTATACCTAATAAGACTCCATGAATTTGTTACTAGAAGTCGTGTTATATTTGGGACGGGGCAGTCCCCTTAAATTTCATTTCTAAAATGTGGGTTCAGTTTTAGGAAATCCGTTTATTAACTCCTCCATTTATACGATATACTCGCCGCGTTAATGTGTAATGTTGGGTCAGTTTCACAATACACTATTACAAAATATATAAATTAAAGTACCATTGGGATTGTTAATAACAAATTTTAAGTACTGTTTTACTATATGTTCCGTGGTGTGGAAAAACATGAAAGCTATTATAACTTATCTGAATTAAATAGAAAATATTTCATGAAACTCGGAACTATGAATACAGGCAGTGCTAGATCTGAGATAGAGTCTGATCAAAAGCCTTGTGAGAAATTGTAGGAAGAAAGTAATTGAGTGTATGCAGGCTGTTACTTTTAACTTTCCGATACACAGATTAAAAATTATGATAAAAAGTGGCAGCAATCAGTGGCATAAATTAGAATATATTTGACAGCAAAAAATATAACTATTTTAACGTGAAAAAAGATCGTTAGATATATTATAAGCTTTCTATATATTCCAGAAATTTTGTGTTAGGTATTTGTTTTCCATATGACAATAGATTAAGAAACAATACATAATTGATTAAAACTATTTTTACGGATTTTATCGCGTTTATTTTACTATTATTTTTAATTCCCGACGTTTCGGGCGCTTTCCAGCACCCATGGTCACGGGGGATTGAGATGACTGACGTCCCGATGTCATTGTTAAACCCGGAGTACCTTCAGCTTTTTTAATTATTGTTTATGGTCCGATTTATGCAAAATGAACTGACTATGTCTTGAGGTCTTGCAGTGGTATGCTTGGGCTTAGTTTTAATTTTATTGATTATAGGATCCCAAGCAAATGGTAGTACCCAGCCTCCTTCTCTATTCAAATTAGTTAATTTCAATAGCCTCACGTATCATCCTTGGTAGGAATCGGTGTTCTTTCGCGAGGATTTGTGGTCTATCAAATCTGATGTAATGGTTGGGGCCGTCTAGGATATGATCGCAAACTGCAGACTTCCCGGAACGTTGATGCTTCACATCAGCTATATGTTCTTTTACGCGGGTTCTAATTGATCTTTTTGTTTGTCCTATATAAGAGAGACCACATTCACAATCAAGCTTGTACACTCCTGCATCTTGTAGAGGAATATGACACTTGACAGATGGTAGGAACTGACTAATCTTCTTCGGCGGCTTATAGAATGTTCTTATAGAAGCTCGCTTTACATCTTGAATCAATCTTGTCTGTGTTATTGTGGTGTGCCTGCTGTACTACCATATGTCAGAGGTGTCACAACTAAACCCAAGCATACCACTGCACGACCTCAGGACATAGTCAGTTCATTTTGCATAGATCGGACCATAAACAATAATTAAAAAATCTGAAGGTACTCCGGGTTCAACAATGACATCGGGACGTCAGTCATCTCAATCCCCCGTGACCATGGGTGCTGGAAAGCGCCCGAAACGTCGGGAATTAAAAATAATAGTAAAATAAACGCGATAAAATCCGTAAAAATAGTTTTAATCAATGTGTAGTGTTCGCGTAAATATAAGAAATCATTAGTTAATACATAATTGAATACAGTGTAATTATACGTTTATAACCTAATAATCTAAGAACAAAGTTTTTACTTAAGGGGATATTATTTATACTTATTTAAGCCAGAAATTTATAGTATGCTATGTTCAATGTTACGAGATCCATCCTTTTCGTAGACGTAAGCATAGTACATATTACATTAAACGTTTTACAAATATAATAAAAAGTAGGTTTTGATATAATATTTCGTAATTTTGCCTAAAAGATTACAGAAGCTCGTGTGTGCAGCTATGGTGGAGGTTACGCTTCTGGATATGGGTTGACAGGCCCACCTCCGCCTCCAACAGTCATAGTGGTAACAGATGACAACATTATGGACAAAATCCTGCCGTTCCTGCTGTTGTTGAAATGTGGGTGTTAAAAACACAAAAAAAAATACTTCAGTTCGTTGTGTAAATACTCAATTCATTTCGACAATCTTTGAACAACACGATGCTACCTACTTTTATAATTTATGTTTGTTCAAGCTTAGGAAATTAAAGGTACAAATTAAATACTATTCTGAAACGTGTTTATGTATCCTGACATAATAAATATATGATAAAATGATTAACATTATTATTGCTACCTAATTATAATCCGTCTATGTTGGATTCGGAAAAAACATAATTTTGAATAGTAATGAAAGAAATCATACCACCATACAAACCATTTATTTCAGTTATTTCCATAGCATAGTGTCTTATGGAATTTTGCTATTGGGAAATGCGGAAGAGGGTCATAAAAGCTATATTCAACCTAAGACCGAGAGTGTGTCTGAGAAACATTTTAAGAATATATGGTTAACCTTGGCCTCTCAGTGTATTTACGAAAATTTAGTGTTTGTTCTCAAAAACAAAAGTAGTTTTGGTAAAAACAATTGATATACACTCTGTAAATACTAAAAACAAACACAAGCTGGTAATACCAGTTGCTCAACTCCACAGAGTCAGTAATTCATTCATGGGACAATGTATATGCTATTACAACAAAGTCCCAGAAAATATACAATGTCCTCTTATACCAAGTTTAAATATTTTATTAAACAAAAATAGTATAAATGTACGTGACTGTAAAAATAATAAATCTGTAAAAATGTTTTACGTGACTGTAAAAATACTAAATCTGTAAAAATGTTTTACGTGACTGTAAAAATACTAAATCTGTAAAAATGTTTTACGTGGTAGATCCATGATACAGCTATCTTATGGAGATAACACGAATGGGTCGGCTCGACCGGGCAGGACCACGCTCTCACAGAATACCAGCGTAACATAGTAGTTTAATGCTGCTGTGTTTCGTACAGTGTACAGGCATTCCATCTTAGTCCTCAGGGGTGACAACACATCTGTATTTTAATTCTTATTCGAGGATAGATTAAGACGTCTATGAGCCACAGCATCAGGTGGGTTGTGTGCTCGCTTGTCACCCTAATTCTATAAAAAAACTGGCCAAGTGTGTGCCGGGACCCGCACAATTTAGAGGTAGGGTTCGGTAGTTGTCCGTCGAAATACCTGGGCTTTCTTGATAATGAGCCTGAGTTCGAGGTTTGACAGCTATATCGACTAAAAATGGGCCCACATAGGAAGATGGTAACCGAAGGACTTATTTTCAAATCAGACATATAGGGAGTGGTATTCAAAAAAGATCATAAAAACTTTTCGATTTTGAAAATAATACAATTTACATCAAATAATTCACATGCCGAATCCGTACAAAGATGGTAGCCCGCGTAAACCAAAAGTATGACGACTGAAACTGTATGAGGCTATATAATTCTATGAATACGTTGAATAAGGCCTACAACGAGCCTAAAAGCTATGGTAGTAATGTTTAAAAGTAGTTTTCTTCATAAAATGTTTATAAATTTCTTATAGTTCACAATAACATTACAAAGTTATAATGCAGCTAGTTTTATGTCATTTTCTATAGAGTTGTAACGAAATTTTTACAAATCAAGTGCATTTTATAAGTTGCTCGACTATTACTCGTTAACTTGTTAATTCTATTTAGCTGTGATATTTTTCCTTTTAATTTCATTTTATATACTACTATTGAGTATACTGCCACGTTTATAAAAACAGCGGTTTAGGTGATAGAGGAGGATACATAACTCTAATGAAAAATACGACTTTAAACCTTAATATTTTGCAAACGAACCCTTGAATCGAAAAGATGTTATTCCATGTTTTTGAAAAACATATCCCACGACACGTGGGAATAAACGGGTAAAAAAATCATCGTCCATTTACCTGTATGGAAGGTACCAAAATTAAAAGATTTTATTTCACAGTTTTGGAGGCGTCATTAATATCTATAACTATGCCAAATTAAAAATTTGTAGCACCCAGGGTCTCGGAGTAAAACTGTGGACGGACATGGCGAAAGTATAAGGATTCTTTGTTGTGTAACTACGGAACCCTAAAAAAGGGTTATTATATTATACATGGTTGACAATAAGCCCTGAAGATAAGGTAGTCGCCTCCAAGTTGTTTCTAAAATAAACTTTGTAAAGTTTGTACAACCTTTCATATTGTAAAAATTACGTTAAAAAGTCCCGGTGGGTTTCGTGCTGGTTCTTCCCAGGACGGAGGCTTTTTTCTGAACCAGTGGTAAAGTGAAAAATTACTTTCAAAAGTAATTACACGTGATCTATATTGAATAAAAATGATTCTACTCTATTCTATTTACGTACACAAAAGAATAAGGATAGTATACACGTGGAAAGTAGACAGCATAAAAATAATATTACTTCTACTCGCATTCTATAATTTATTTATAAGCTTTCAATATGAAAAGCCCTGTCAGTGGACCGTAGGTACCTAAAATGATTTGCCGTGTTGTCACTTGTAACAGAAAGTTTTATTAAAATTACTCGAGATAAAAGAGTCGAAGTTATTTTTTTACCGAAATAATAAGCGTGACAAACGTGCACACAACCTTACCTTATGTTAAGTAACTGCTGTGGAACATACGAGTAGATTAGTGTAATGTCTTACTTACACAATTTGCTAAAGTTATTGGCGATTATGAGACTATAGACCAAAAAACCGTAAGGGAAAACACCAGGAGAAAAGACTTTCATAATAAAATCATCCCTCGTATGGATATGACAAGACACTCTTCTCATTATCAATCAGTGCTTCTGTTTAATACATTACCTATTGATTTAAAAAATATGTATGTTATACAAGAGTAGCTTCAAAAATACTTTAAAAAATTCCTACTAGAAAAATGTTATTATAGTGTTGACGAGTTTCTACATGCTAATGCTATTACATAAAATTCAATGTGTTTTGAACTTTTGATAACATTTTAAGAAATAATGGAATTATTTTTTTTTGTAACAAATGTAGTTATTATTTTTGTGTGATATTTAAAACTTTAAATTTTATTGATAGTGGTGAGATTTGACTTGTAATTTTTATTGTAATTTTATAGTTATTGCCATTTTATATAATTTAATTGTATACCAATTATTGTAATCTCACATTTTTATTGTAATTTTGTATAGTTGTAAATTTAGTAGTTAATATTTTCAATTGTACTTTTTGCATGAATTATTCAACACAATTTGTATTGTTCAGAATAAAAAAACAAAAAAAATCTGTTGTCGATTAATAATGGCTTGTTACAAGTAAATCCCTTGTTATGAGAGAAAATTATAATCCAAAACTGGTCTAGTTGTTAAGCTATAAGCTCGGTCGGGAAGTAAAAATTTTGACACTAAAGCTCAGATCTTGTTTTTTTGTAGTAGAATCTATGGATGGATGTCAAATATGACAAAATTTCTCTATTTTTTCTGTACATGGAAACATTAAATACAAAAACCGCTATCAACAATAAGTACAGAAAATTAAGTAAATATGGTAATTATGAAATTATTAGATTATATAAATGTGATATAAATAAGGTAAGGTATTAAAAATAAAATGAAATAATAAATACATACATAAACACTCACGCCTGTCACCCAGAGGGGTAGGCAGAGACTACAGACTTCCATTTGGCACGATCCTGACACACCTCTCTTGCCTCCTTCACATCCATACATCTATGCATACATGCTCGTCGGTTAAGGGTACTCCTAATTTGGCCCGTTTTCAATAAATCGCCAATTTGGTCGATAAATTTTCGCCTAGGACATCCCTTTCCGACTTTGCCATTCACTTCTGCACCATAAATTTTCTTTGTCACTCTTTCCTCATTCATTCTTTCCACATGACCAAACCACTGAAGCATTCCTTTCTTAATCCTGGTCACAACATCATCTTGCAAACCACACTCTTCATTTCATAAAGAAATGAAATAATAAAAATATCTGTTACTGGCTTGTTACAAAAATATTACTAAATTATTCGAGATATAGAAATCTAATCTTATTATTGCTGACCCAAAGCTTATGCAAGGTTAAGTATTGTCTAATAATTACATCAATCGTTATACAACTATAAAAAGTTAAAAATATGATTATTCATTTGCAATTCTTGAAATGACGTCGTCATGGTGGCTAGCTTGCTTTGTGCTGCTCGGATACATTAAAGTAAGAATTATTAAGATTTTTTATGTAAACCAAACTTTCTGTAAAATAGTTGTACTAACGTTTTTATTTATCGAATAAGTTTGACAAACAAGCACACAGTCCACCTGATGGTATGTGGGTGCAGTAGCCCATATGCATCTACATCCATCCTAGATTAAGAATCAAAATGCAGATGCGTTGTCAGTTCCGAGGACATAGATGTCCTCGTCTCCAGTAAAAAAAGTCACCGGATCTCTACACTCACCATACGACACACGGCAGCATTAAGCTGCTATTTTACTCTGTTATTCTGTGAGAGCGTAGGCCTACACCAGTCGAGCAGACCTATTTGAGCTACATCCATAATATAGCTGCAGCCTGGCACGTGGCACGTGATATAAGAATTGTGATGTAAGAATTTGCATAAGTTTTAAAAAAACTTACTTTATATTTATTTCGATAATAGTATATTATTCGTTGCAACATGCGTTAAATCGTACGTACATATGAGAATGCATCAACCTATTCCGTCCCGTAATTGTCGTAAGAGGTTGACTGTGGGAATGTCAGAAATATCTCATGGTTTCTGAATTCTGATAAATGGGGTTATAACTATTACATATATACGTTTACGCCAGACAGAAAATAAACAACGGTCTCAGACAAGATTACTTTCTGTAATCGTTACTGCGAACAGAAAACTAAAAATATTTAATGTAGATAAAAAATTATCTAGAAACCACGTTTTTATGATCCTTAATAGTAATAAAATTTTATGGTTTTTTTGAAGTTAGTTCGACATTGCATGCTAATAAATTATTAAGAATGCATTATTATTATTATCGAGTTGTGAGATACCCCGAAAGTTTCAGCCAGATAGCTAATCGGGGAATGCTCGAAATTTGAGTTGCAAGATTCCACCAAGAATCGTCAGATAGACAGGTGGTATACAAGAACACGTGCACGTACATAAAAACGTGAAAATCAATGAAATGTCAAAGTGTCGTAACTAGTAAGTTAAGTGACAGTCAGGTGATATAACGTTGAGATATTTCCTATTAATTCCTATAGTTTACTAAAGCATTGAACAATAGAAAGTCAACTTTGCCAACCCCACAGCTTAGTGACCGGGAGCACTGTACTAAAGTTTGTCTCGTGTCGATAAGAGTTACTTCGATTACGGGCACGTTAAAACAAGTACGAGTAATATTTTTCTTCCTCGGATAGATGACGTAAAAATTAGCTTTGAATATTGGCTTCTGTTTAGACAGAAGTACGCGTCTTCAAATGCCAGCATGCAATCCATTATCCATTACAATCTATCAAGTCCACAGCTGGCCATAGCCCTCCGTATAAATTGACTCATAACGGGGACATTTCCATCATGCAATATTGCAATACATATTGCCAATAAATATTTCCTTTGTAAATTTTCACCTTGGACTCTGGCCATACTTGATATTCAGGCTTGCTAATGCAGTGGTTGAAAAAGCGTAGAAATAATAGTAATTGGAACAGAAAGAAAGTAGAACAATTTCTTTTATTTTTTTCGTTTGATATTATAACAAACCATCAGCTTATCTCATTCCATGCGCGTCATAAAAGAAGATTTAGGAAAGGGCCTAGAAGGTCTTTTAGTCTTCGGCAAATGGTGATATAATAAACTATTTCATATTTATTTTCATACACATATCAGCGTCCCGGAGCAGTGTTAATAGTTTGAGATCCAAAGTACTGTACACATCCATTTAACTAGCGTGTGCATCAAAGTATTAAGTGTACCAGTTTATAAAAAAGGGTCATTAAAAGCAGTTACAAGTAATATATAAAAAAGAGGACGTATTTTTTCCTTTAAAAATAATTTGTTTTCTAGGTGCAAGCCCTGGCTCAGTTTAATGGATGGTATGGTCAACCGCAGATGTCTTCTTATGGGAATCCAATTGTTATACGCACAGATTCAGAAGATGATAGCTTAAGAAGTATTTTACCTATACTTTTACTCCTACTCACTGATAATGGAGGCCGATGTGGTGGAGGCTTCGGTGGAGGATGTAATTGTGGTGGTTGCTGTGGCGGATGTGGCAATGGATGTAGAGGTGGATGTGGCGGTGGAGGATGCGTAGGTGGATGTAGTGGTAGATGTGGAGGTGGATACGGTGGTGGAGGGAATACAATACCAATACCTTATCCGATAGCAATACCCGTTAATTGTCCTATCATAACCTAGCAATCATAATTAGCTTACATAATTTTTAAAAGTCATTCAAAATTGTGAAACGATTTTATAAATTTAGGAGGAAAATCGTATAATTAATATTTATGTGTATGTTTTTCTTACAATTATTAAGTATAATGTTTTATTTATAATATATTTAAGTTATTAGTATTGAGTAAATGGAGGTTTATTCATTATATTTGACTTTCATTGACTATATCATTACTACAACAAAAGCATTCCAGAAGACACTGTTTAACAATTTTGATCTCATTTTATGTATAGTTCATCTGATTTAGTTCCACCCTTTACCTATATCCCGATTGCTATCAACGAGCAGCTATGTGCCAATTTATCAGAGTAGTGTGCCGGTCGTAAGTAAGTAAGAGACATGTAAGTTCTGTATATACATATACATATGTTTTACGTGGTAGAGTCATGCTGCAGGTATATTATGGTTGCGGCCGCTTTTCGGCTCCTCAATGTTGAGTGTGCAGTGTTTTGTACGGTGAGTGTAGAGAACTGGATAAACTTTTCATCCTTTTACTGTACGAGGCAAGTCATCTTAATCCTCAGGGGTGGCAACGCATCTGCATTTTGTTTCTTAACCGACGATAGATGTCTATGGGCCACTGCATACACTTACCATCACGTGAACTGTTTGCACGTCTGTCACCTATAAAAAAAAAAACAGTAGAGGTGCAGGCTGTGAGCCATTCGTTCTTAGTTCTCTGAGTGATGACGCATCTGAAGTCTACACTTGATGTGGTTGAGGGATCTATGGGTTACAGCGGTTAGTTACTCTATCTTAGTATTCAATGGCACTAACTACATTTAGAGTTTGTGGCAGGTATTTATAGAGTAGAGTAGCAAGTTGCAAGTAAAAATGGATTGAGGTTGAAATAACATGTAGGGATCTAAAAATAATCTATTAAAAATAATTTAAATTTCAACTGACTTAGAAAATCGTACTTATATATATGCTTCGAAATGTACCTGCGGTTTACATTTAATAAAACTAATCCAGTCGGAGTTGATGAACTAGTACGGGAAAACAAAAAATATATTTTTAAATTTATAATTTCGATAATAATATTAACATTTATTATTGAAGGACCTTAAAACTTATATCTTTTTACAAAGCAGTACGTGCTTATTTTGACCACAGATTTTAAATTACATCACCTAAATTCATATATATACACCGATAATATTCTTTTGAAATCACTAGCATATAAAAGAACTGCAATAATTTGTTTATTCAATCAAATAACAAAATGGATTCTCAGAAATTATTGGCGCTAACTTCTTTGCTGTTTATCATAAAGGTAAATTTACAACTAATTGAAATAAAGTAACCTTTCATTTTAATCAGATTTATAAAACATATAAGATTTAAATATATATTTGTTTTAGGTTTACAGTGCACACGCTCAGTGTACCGGTCGTGTCGAGTTTATAAACCAACCATGTACACCGCCATCGATAACTGCGAGATCCTACGTCCAACCAGTTAGCCAAATAGTCATTCCAGCTATCATCCAACCACTAATTCAAACAGAATCATGTATGCCAGCGTTGCCACCATGTATCCCAGACTACTCTAATTTATTCAATTCCCTTTATGCCAGTTCAGCGATGCCTCCTATTATTTTTGACAATGGTAGTCAAAACGATTTAGATAATTTACTATATTTCTTGCTTTTCGCAATGAGAAATAAAAGAAATGGTGGATTTGGATGCGGTTGCGGTAGAGGATGTTGTTGCGGAAATTCTTGCGGATGTAGCAGATGCTGTGGATGTTTTAATTCTAAGGGATGTGGTAGTTGCAATTGTGGTGGATCATGTGGTAATTGCGGTAATAACGGTGATTGTGGTAATGGGTGCAACGGGTGTAACGGTGGATGTAACGGTGGATATAACGGTGGATGTAACTGTGGATGTAACGGTGGATGTAACGGCTGCAATAATGGGAATGGTAATTGTGCATGTGGTGGCAACTGTATGTTTATACCGTATCCAATTGCCATCCCCATTGGTAATGCTTTTCAAAGCCTTAATGGCGGAGCATATTCTATACCTGTAATTGAGGCTGTTGTCGGAGGTTGCGATGATTGTCCATCATCGTCAATACAAACTTGCAATGGTCAAAATCAAAACGAAGTAACTCTCGTCATAAAAACCGACTGTCAATAATTTTCCTTGTGTAATATTTTAGTAAATTATTAGATTTCTGTGAATTAAAACTTTACGAAATTGAAAATGTTTTCCTTTCATATAACAATGGAAAAGTAAATTTCTTTATTATTTATTCAATGCAATAATTACAAATTTGAATTAGGTATCTGTTTTTTTTAAAGAAATCTGAGAAACTACATATACGTGTACGTTTACGTGTACGTGTCCTTGTCTGACAATTTCAAAACATATTGTATTGCACTTAAACAATTTTCTTCACCAGGAAATTTAATATAAATAGCAATTACCCACATTACGTTATATTTTATTTCGCCTCTTTGACATATTAAAACTTACAATAATATGTTACATAAAAATTTGATATCTTCAATTTTGATACTACTGACAGTGGTTAAGGTAAGAATCGCTTTTTTCTTATAATCCTCTACGAGGGTCGTTTGTTCAATAACGATTTATGTCGTTTTCTTGCAGTTAAACTTTGCGTGTAGTCAATGGAGGGAAGGTTACAATGTTCCTGCCTGTTACTATAACTCTTACTCGATGGGATATAACTATCCTTATTGTCATCCGGAGGGATATGAATACAACTCGTACGTAGCGACAAGCTACCCATATTACGCATGTTTACCTGGACTGTATGGAAGCTGTGACCGACCTGAAAAATATGGATCATCACCTGGCACAGTAGAACAACCGATAATCATAGTGGTAGAGAATAATGATAAACATGGTGAATTTTGTTTAAATGATTTATTATCTTTTCCTATTGAAATTGCAAAGAATTTATTCGACGATTACTCCAGTTCTTGTACTTCAACATGGTGCAACTGCAATTGCTGTGACGGAAGAAATAAAGAATGCGAATATGGTTCAAAATGTAAATGTGGTACTTGTCCTGATTGTAGTCATAGCTCTTGTAACTCTTGTAATAAAAAGGAATGTTGTAAAAACCGTTGTTGTAAATCCGAATGCGAATATCGTAATTGTAACACCGATTGTAGTTGTAATTGTGGATGTTGCAAGCATATTATTATTTGTGAATGTTAATCACCGGAAATAAATTTTATAATTGTAAAACAGCTTTGTGTTTCCATAATATTGCCAATAACAATAAATTAAGTAATATCCTATAAACATCTGAGTATAACAGCCTATAAATATCTCATATCTGAGAACAGTTTTATTTCTAAAATCAAGAAGTACTTTAATAAATTTAAGCTGTAGGCAAGTTTGTTACGTTACTATTCCGTATTATACAGGGTTATTTTTCAACGAGTATCTAAATTTTATATTTAAGTTCAAATATATAAATAATGATATACTCTTATATTGCAGTTTCTGAAAACAAAGTAAATAAGGCTTCTACTATTATTTGAAATTATCCAAAATTGATTGTGATTTATGTGCGATTCAATTCGCAACGTTAGATATATTTATGAACGACAATCAGTTAAAATAATTAATTTAAGAGCCAGTGAGCGGCAGACTTACGGTTTTTTTTCACTTAATCCCCTATACCTAAGGTACATGAAGTGGGGACTCCTTAGTTTGACTGAGGTGTGAAAGGTGAAAAACAACGTGAAAGTAATAAGTCTGCCGCTTTGAAATCTTGAAACATTCAATAAGTTATTGAAAAGTTACATTGGCAGACACCTATGGCAGTTCCAAGGTCATGGCAGATTGGTTCATAGGACAAGTTCAATTTATTTTTGAATAATTTACGTTATTTCAACAAACCTATAATTTAGATACGGTGTTGATAATATTATTTTTGCAAGAATATTTTGCATGGCACACATATATTGAGGTTCTATTTTTCCCAGGTACTATAAGCGTATACTATACTCACTCTAATACAGTCTTTTTTTCTACTTTTGTTTAGAGAAGGCTTTTAATTTACCATAACATAAGAACACCTGTCCTTTATAATGGTTATATCAAATATTTTTAGTGTATTTTTGTACTTTGGTAGAGAAGCAAGAAGGAATCCCCGAAATCTCGTTCATCAGGTACAGTAGTACCAGTTACTCGACTCCTCCGAGTCAGTATACGCTTCACAACAAAATCCCAAAAATTTATAAAATTTGACCTGCTCAAAATTCAAAATTGTTATTAAACTAAATTTGTATAAAAAGGGATACTATAATAATATTAAGGAATTTATGGGTGATAATAGCCCCTCTGTGAATGAGGTGTCAAGGTCGCTATCAAGCTGTTTTTAAATTGTTTTTTGTTGATTAATTGAGTAACATACATGATTGTAAGCAGTTATTTAAAAAAAAAGTCCTGCTGGATTTCTAGCTGGTTCTTTTCAGGACAGAGGTTCTTTTCCGAAGAAGTGGCAAATAAACGAAAGTGACTCAATAAGAATTATTTATAATCAAAAATAAACAGAAACATTTTTATAGAAGAAATATATACTGTTTATTTTTCTGTTTCTGTTATTTTTATAGGCCACAGCATCCTATTAACATTCGATATACTGTGTGCTCATTAGTCACTCTTTCTCTTATAGTAGGTGAGAGTATTATGGTCATCCGGTTAATATGGTTACTTTTTTATAACTCAAAACCTTGTGTGTATAGAGGGCTCTGTGATACGATAGCTCTTCATCAGTCAATCAAATAATAAAGAGTCAAAAGGGCGCTACTTTATTAACGCCATTTTGACAGTTGAAATTATATTAAATATTTTAGTCGAATTTAGTATGGTGTAGTGTATTTAGTTTTTTCTTAAGTTGATTTTTCGAAGTGTTCCTAATTATTGCCAAAGATGTTTGCTTTTGTTTTCTTTACATATTAGTTATAGTATATGGCTTTGCTTTCTTTTTTGTCTCTATCCTCCTCTTAGTTTTGGTTTTATAGGGCGTAAAGCTTAAGGTAAAAGAGCCGTGGTAGCTCAGATGGTTAACGCTCGCTGTAAATGTAACAGAACGCGAATAACCCGGGCTCGACCCCCGCCGGCACGAATGAAATTGTTAAATGCAATTTTAAGTGCTGATTTACCACGTGCTCGGCGGTGAAGGAAAACATCGTGAGGAAACCTGCATGTCTGAGGAATAAGAAAAAAATATTTCGAAGACATGTGGAGTTCGCCAACACGCATTGGGGCAGGGCGGCGGACACTTCCTTGCCCTAAAACCCTCTCAGAAATGAGGGGAGGCCTGTGCCCAGCAGTGGGACGTATATAGGCTGTAACTTTACTTTACTTTTTTAAAGCTTTAGGTGACCATATTATCCTCACGTTTTTTTTATAGAAGAGGGGGAAACGAGCATGCGGCTCACCTGATGTTAAGTGACTACCGCCGCCCATGATCAACCGCAACACCAGGGGAATTGCAGGTGCGTTCCCGGCCCTTTAGAAAGGAGTAAGATGTTTTGTTGAAGGTCCCCAGGTCGTATCGGTCCGGAAAAATCGCCGGTGGTAAACTATTCCACAGAGAGGTCACGTGCCTTATTAAAAAAACATAACGAAGAAGACCAAAAAAACATAATTTAAAAAAGTAAAAGTATACCAGACATAGGTGCATAGAAGAATAAACGCCTTGACTATGACGATTTTCGAAGCCAGCTGATAAAAATGTTTGTTTGTTATTCGGTGCGATACCGTTCATTAAATTGCGGTAAAACTTTGTCCACTTATTGCTTGCACTTGCGCGACGGTTGTAGGCTTATTAGATACAATTAACTTAAAGTAGTTAGCGTATGTATTATCATTACTAATTAAGAATATTACTTTTCCAAATTTCAAACGATATTTTCACAATTATTTCCTATGCGGCACCAACGCGCCAGGTATCAGCTAGTTTTTAGTAAGAATAATTTTTTACTCTTTTGTCACAGAATAAATAATAGTACATTTTATATAGATTGAGGAAAATTACAATCATCAATATCGTCTAAATAGTAACATAAAAAATTTCATCACCTAGTTTACCACTCCTAGAGGTGGATTTTTCTCCAAATTCATATAGGACCACTTCTGAATCATAGCCTATTCAATGAAAAAGTAAACACCGAAATCGGATCACAATTGGCCAAGATATTGCGTAACATCATATTGAAGATATTTTTTAAGTGGTAGAGCCACGCTGCGGCTATACTATGGCTGTAGCACTAATGGGTCAGTTCGACCTCACAGGACTCACGCTCTCACAGGATACCAGCGTAAAATATTAGCTAAATTCTGCTCTGTTTCGTATAGTGAATGTAGAGAACTCGAGACCCCTTTTACTGGAAACGATTCATTTCATCTTAGTCCTCAGGGTGACAACGCATCCGCGTTTTGATTCTTATTCGAGTATAAATGCCATCTACATTTATCCTCGAATCAGAGAACTAGTTTACTGGAAACGAGGCATTGAATTTTAGTCCTCAGAGGTGACAACGCATCTGAATTTTGCTCAATTATAGAAGTTAAATGAATATGTCTATGGGCCACAGCATCCACTTACCATCAGAGAGTACTCATTTGACAACCTTATTCTATAAAAAAAAGTTAAAAAAGCGACAGTAATATGAGCAAGGTGCGGACTACGAACTTAAAAGGTCTTGGGTTCGAATCCACCATTCAACTTTTGTAGTGAACTCACACAAGTATTTTAAGCTTACCAGGAGTGGTTAAAAGTAATATTAGTAATGTTAAAAGCAATGCTAGTTTTTTTAACACGTCAAACGAATTCGGAAAATTTAAGGTAAATTTAAATGCGATAAAAGTCCATAAATAATCATTCATCAAGTTTATGAGATACGAGTCGATATAAAACATGACATCGCATTTAGTACAACGCATTTAATGCAACTACTATTTAATCGAGTCGTATTCCTTATACAAACTATTAATTTATGGCACATTTACTTACGTGAGAGTGGATAGGGATTTGCTATGGCAAACACTGAACTCATTTGGGTTGAGCGCTGGCTTGATACAGGCATTGGAGTTTCTTTATAGGGACTCTAGTGCTTGTGTTAGGATCAACGGGGTCTACTCGGACTGGTTTGACATCCATAAAGGTGTCAGACAGGGCTGTGTGGCTTCCCCGTGGCTGTTCAACCTATTTTTGGACAGTTGTTTGCAAAATTTGAGTTAACCGTCAAATGCCTTTTGTACGCCGATGATCAAGTTATTCTTGCGTCGGCGGCGGCCGAGTTGCAAATGATGGTTACATTAATGAACGGATCATTAAAAGAAAGGGGTATGAAAGTGAACGCAAGTAAGACGAAGGTTATCGTTTTTGAAAGAGAAGAAAGTAAAACGATTTGTGAAATAAGAATAGAAGGGGAGTTGATTGAGCAAGTAGATGAGTTTGTATATTTTGGCTGCGTATTTAGCAGGGATGGGAGATATGATAAGGATATAGAACGACGAGTGAGTGCGGGAAATAGAGTAAATGGGGCCTTGCACTCTATTGTGAAGAGTCAAAATGTGTCGAAAAAGGCACGTATGGCAATTCACAATGCTGTGTTGGTCCCTACTTTAACGTATGGTAGTGAAAGTTTGGTGTGGCAGAAGAAGCACGAGAGTAGAATAAACGCAGTAGAAATGCGGTCGTTAAGGAGTATGTAGGGCTGAATCTGAATGACAGGGTAAGAAATTGTGTAATAAGAGAAGAGTGTGGTTTGCAAGATGATGTGGTGACCAGGATTAAGAAAGGAATGCTTCGGTGGTTTGGTCATGTGGAAAGAATTAATGAGGAAAGAGTGACAAAGAAAATTTATGGTGCAGAAGTGAATGGCAGAGTCAGAAAGGGACGTCCTAGGCGAAAATTTATCGACCAAATTGGCGATTTATTGAAAACGGGCCAAATTAGGAGTACCCTTAACCGACGAGCATGTATGCGTAGGTGTATGGATGTGAAGGAGGCAAGAGAGGTGTATCAGGATCGTGCCAAATGGAAGTCTGTAGTCTGTGCCTACCCCTCTGGGTGACAGGCGTGAGTGTTTATGTTATGTATGTTATTTACTTACGTTTAGGATAAACAAATTTAAAGAGCGAGTAGTAAAAACAAATAAATTATAATGTATGAGAAGATAATATGTTTTATCAAATTCAATTTTCTCATTTTATTTCTTTTTTCTTCTTTATTTCATTTTATTTTAAATTAAGTAAAATAAACATTTTGTTCCTAACGCAATTAAATCTTGGAAGTAAGTAGGTCTAATGTTAGAACTCGCACGTGCCCTAATTCTTGTAGGCATCCATTTCGAAATATTATTGTTAAATATAACAATTGTCGTGATACCAAAATGCAATAAAAGGATCCGCTACACATGAAATGGGAATTAAAAACAAAATGGCTGCAATGAAACTGACCGTTTTCTTCACTGTGTTATATGTAGTTAAGGTAAGCCTGAAAGTATATTTTTGTTTTATAATGTTATGGACGTAATCCTATATATTTTTTAGTTTTTCTGTTGTTATTCCTTAAAAATAAACAACTCTTATTAGCGGAAACTACCTCTAAAATAAGCTTAATTTACTACTACTTCAAAATTTACTGAATGAAAATATGCAAAATATACAATTGTAAATATATACTTAATTTTCATTTTACAGATTCAATTGGTTATGGCTCAAGTCATAAGCGGTCCATGTGGGTATGGATATAATGGCTACTCTCCCACTGTATATGAAACCTCCAACAATGATCCTATAGATGTTATTCTTCCTATCCTACTTCTGGCTGTATGCAACAGGGCTAACGGCGGCTGTAATGGTGGATATCCATACGGTGGTGGATGTGGCGGTGGATGTGGTGGTGGATGTGGTTGCGGATGTGGTGGTGGATGCGGCGGTGGGTGTGATGGTAAATACTGCAGCGGATGTTGCGGTGGATGCAGCGGTGGAAGTAGCTGTGTTTGCGGATGTGGAAGTAGTTGCGGTGGTTGTGGAAGCGGATGTAATTATGGATGTGGCAGTGGTTGTGGATGTGGCAGTGGTTGTGGATGTTGTTAATATATAGGAATGTTTTTGGATTTAGTTTATAAATTAAAACTTTATTGGCAAGTATTATATCACTCGTAAATCACAACATGTTTTTGAGTTATTTTCTATACTCCATACGGTAATGTTATGATTATTATATGTATTTTAACGTATCATTAGTGACTAAAATTATTATCTACAATTAAAATATTCGCTCTTGCCCAATCATTGTTTATCTTCATTGAATAATTCATTCTTTTGGTTGTAGTAAATAGATAAGATAAAGTTGTATTACATACTCTACATAATACAATATTACTTAACGAATGTTTTGAAATTTTAAAATGCAATTTTACTTAATATAAAGTTATAAATTTAAAATTAAAAGTTGTATAAAATATTACAGTACAGGCTACTGACTTAAATAAGTTTTGTTAGTAAGTTTAACCAAAAATAAAACCTAACACAATGCAAATAAGAAAACACAAAATGGTTTCTAGATTGCTAACGACAGCAATAGTTTTAAAAGTAAGTATTCTTAATATAGTAATATGCGCTTACACTAATGGTTATTTATCTAAGATTTAACAATATTATTGTTATGTTTTATGTTTTTACAGAATGTTTGTAGTATTAATTCTCAAAGTGAAGGGTGGAACAAAATATCACGAAATTTTGGTGAAAATAGCGAAAAAACAAAAACAACACGACACAAGTCCACAAAGTCGTACATGTCAAATCCAATGTTAACAACAGAAATAACAGAAAGCGTATTCCCCGACGTTACTTATCCCACTAGTATTTTGGATGCTAGAGAACCTTTTTACTTTAGATCAAGTGGTTATGATAACGTCCTTAGACCATTTTCTGACGATGTTAAAATGTCTTACAACGCTCTAAAGGCAGACAAAAGAAAAAAAAGTTCCTTATCTGATTATCATTCATCATCAAAACCAGTTAAAGATGCTCACAAGATAAATACTAAAGACCTTGAATCTATAAAAATTAACTTGAATAACACGAGTTTGAATAACGAACGAGCATTCAACGATGGAACGCTCGGAATAGATAGAGAAGAAAAAGAAACAAAAAGTAATCTTATAACTTCCGATTCCGAAGTAAGAGCTCACCTTAATCTCACTGACGCTTGCACCGACAGCAAGAACAACGAAATCACAGTCATGACTTTAAAGAACTCTACTTCAAACGTTAATTTTGAACTTCCATCAATTGGTATAAATTTGGCCACAAAAGAACGTAATGAATCCAATGTGTTGTTTGACAAAAAAAATATTGTTAGGAACTGGAATGAACGAGATATTAACTTAAAGTGTGTCATTCCAAACGAAAGTGAGTACAATTGTAATATTGACAAAAATCAGTTTGTAAGCAAAGAAGTTTCAAATGACAGTCAATCTAATACTTATAAATCATTCGATGATAAAAAACATCAACGTGAATTAAGTCATTCTTCCAAATTTATAGAAACCCCTGTAGAATTTTTAAGTACACTTTATGATACAAAAAAAAGTTTTGATTCAATGCTAAATATAATAGAAAATATGCTTGAACCAGTGAAGACTTTATCCAATATACCAAACGGAATAAATTTAATAGACGAAAATTCTACGAATGAGTTGCAAATTGTTAAAGAAAGCGACATCGTTATGGACCGTGAATTAGTAAATAAAATAAATGACATAGAAAATAAAGAAAATCATATTAGTAATATCGATGCGTTACCGACATTCACAAAACATATGAATGATGATTGTTATGAGATAATGAATAATATGAATAAGAGTCCTACTAATTCATTAGTAGAAATATTTGACAACCAAAATGATTCAGACATATCTTATGGATTAAGATTAAGCCTTACGTTAGAAAATGATATGAAGGATGAACAAAACGAGGATATTATTGCTGGATTATTTCCTAATTACTATGTTCGAGAAAATTTAAAATTTATACGAGATGATAAATTGATTGAGGGAAATACGCCTCATGAGTATATTAAAGATTTCCCAGTTTCTGATGCTTCCTATTATTTAACTTTTGAATTGGATAACATTACTGCCGATAAAAGTGCTCTTACGTTAGAAACTGTATCGGAAGAAGACAACTCTATTGAAACAAATGTCAAATCTGCAGCAAATTCTTTATCTATTTTTGATAGTTTCGAAACTACTAACAACCCGTTTAATATTATTTTTCATTCTCAACCTGATATTAAGGCTAAAATAAATGAGGAAAATATTACTGAATTATTTCCTAATTACTATGTTCGAGAAAATTTAAAATTAAAGCAACACGATAAATTGATTGAGAATAACACGTCTCATGAGTATATTAAAGATTCACCAGTTTTTGATGATTCTTATGATTTAAGTTTTGAATTAGATAATATTACTGCCGATAAAAGTGCCCTCACGTTTGAAACTATATCGGAAGAAGACAACTCTACTGAAACTAATGTTAAATCTGCAGCAAATTCTATATCTATTTTTGATAGTTTCAAAACTGCTAACAACCCGTTTAATATTTTTTTTTGATTTTCAACCTCATGATTCATAAACGATGACATTGTAAAAACAAATTAAATAAAAAACTGGCTATTCTATTAAAGTTGATTGAAGTAATAGTTTTATTAGTTTAATCTATCCATAAAATGGCACCTTTTATTTTTTAACCTAGGTTTATTTTATAATTAAAAAATTATTTAATATTTCATTTCATTTTGTCTTGTAAGTGTCTTAAGAGACTACGGGAATTTCAGAAAAATCTAATAGCTTCCGATACACATGATACAATGTATGGGACATTATAACCATCTTATTTACACTAAACGTAAAAATAACAATACCGGCGTCGGGCAGCAGCAGCGAGAAGTCGGTACTGCGATCGTTAATTCATCTGCCAAGCTTGTCAATTTAAGGCAAATCTTCTCTAACATAGAAGAGATATCCAACAGTTGAGTTTTACTGGCTGATGTCGAAGAAAGTGATAAATAATGTCGATAAAATTGAGTGAACATAAAACGAAAGCATAGAAATTAATAATTAGGTACAGTTGTCTTTTTTTTTTCTTATTTCGGGCAGCGAGGCACACTTCGCCGTGGGTGTCGTATCCCTATACAGGGAAATGAAACAAGTCGTGGGACAAATCTGGGGAAGTCCTATATTCAGCGGTTGACTTTTGGTGGAATATAATGAATATTTTATAATTAGTACCTACTATATTTTCCGAAACGCTCCACTAGGAATTAAAAATTTCATTTTCGTCACGAACTTTCGAGATGCTGGATAATCTAATTAATTATCTCGTAATTACACTTTACCACAAGATAACATTGTCCCACCTCATGTTATATGCATGAATAAATTAATAAGTTTATAAGGTTATCTGGAAGAAAGCACTTTCAGAGTGATAAGACCGCCTATTGTACATATTCTAATTTAGATTTAACTGTACTTGATGTTTTGTATTTTGGTGTACAATAAAGAGTAAATAAATAAATAAATTCATACAGTATGCCTGGCCTTAACACCGACAGTCGAGCCACGAATAATATTTCGTTAAGTTACTAGGCCAAGAAGACCTTACAGAACTTAATAATAATTATACGCAAAATTTTCTGAGATATTTTAAGGAAAGTCAGAAGAACATCGTTATAAGTAACTCCAACTCATGATTAGCTGATATCTTATTCTACTAAACCTTAATTTATCACTAAAACAGTTGCTCTCGAAACACATTCCTTAATACAAACAAAAATGGCAAGCATGGCAACTATGGCAAATATCCTCCTTGTGAGGCAAATCTATGGGGGAGGCCCCCTTTCAACAGTGGACTTTAATAAGCTGTAATTACGATGTTGGTGATGATTTTTCCATTCCTAACCACCTTCCTAAATTGAAAAATGTCAATCGCTAGCAGTAAGCAATATAAATAAAAATAATAAGAATTAAAAAATTTAAAGTGCAAAATAAGACAGTAATTACAAAACGGATATACGAGTATTCGTAGATGTTTGATAACACTTACTAATTACTAAATTATCACGTATATGCTAGTAACATCGATGAAATACACAATCATTGAATATATATTGGAAAAAATAATTGATAAATGGTTAAAGCAGTATGGGGCTTCGTGAAAAAGTGGCGTTATTAATTCTAGCAATAATTTTAATGCAGGTGGGATTTTTTTATTTGTATTTGATTTTTATGATACTCATAATTATAAAGTAAGTTTATATCTATTTTATAGCAGAAAATTTGCAATATTTTGGGTATTTCATTACAATTTATTGTTAAGAAAACGACGGGTTGCACTCCGGGAGTGCCGGCAGAAGTGAAAACTTGAATATTAACGTTGTGCATTTTTGATATTTTGGGATGATTAGGGAATAATTTTGCACGAATTGCTTTAATTATCAGACACGAACATTTACGCAAGCGCCCTGCGCCGCCTAAACGAATCAGCAGGCGCAGGCATAAATTTTCGCCGCGCCGTAGAAAGAGAGGGGGATACTTCCTCTCCTACGCCGCGCCGGCTGTCTCTCTCTCTCCATCCGTCTTACGAATTTTCGATCAGGGTCACGTGTCCTGACGCGAGTTTAACATTTTTTACCTATTACAAAAAAGTGTACAACGCCGCTAAAGATGTTTTCACTTCAAAACATCTATTTGTGCGACCGGTTCTGTCTTCAAAACTTTGGAACCGAAATAAAGGGACAAACTATTTCACACAGTTCACCTGATGGTAAGTTTCTGCTGCAACCTATGAATGCGTGAAACCAACTTCAGTTACATATACTATAAATACGTTGTTAGCTTTGTGGTCTAAGATAGAGTGCCTCATATTATTGGTCTTATACTGGCTTTCCATATTTTACAAATTGGAACATGTTACACTTTCGCTCGAAACGCCACAAAAGGAGCCCTTAGCAAAATTCATTCTAATATAATAATACTATTACGCCACCTAATTATACTATAAACTTATTTTTTATGAAAATCGTCATCATTACAACGGATCGCAAGTCCACTTCTAAGCATAGGACTCCCCCAACATTCTCTTACAACTGTCACAACACGATCTCAAGCCACTTGCATCCATCGACATCTTGTACGAGGCGAATTTATGCTGATACTCACCAATAGAGTTGTTCAGTAGTGGAAAGGGTGGATGGATTTAGGTAAATCATTAAAATTCTGCGAAAAAAAACCTCGTTTAAATTAATATAGGACTTTAAATAATACAATAACTTAAAACCACATTTTTTTTGCTTTCAGGTAATGGATGGACAAGGTGTACCTTACACTGATAAGTTAAAATCATTGAAATCAAACTATAAAAATAAACTAAGAAAAAACACAAAAACAACATCAATACCTCAGCCGAAAGAGGAGTTAATTAACAAAATGTTTAAATTTCCTGAAGTTGAGTATCCTATAAGGTCTAGATTATTTTCTAACCAGAATAATGATTTAATGTTTAATGAAACCCCTAAATCTAAATCTGAATACGTAAATAGACCCTCAAGCAAAACATCTAAAAAGCGTAAATATGAACATAAAATGAATAGTAAGAATAGTAAAGTAACAGTCCCACCCCTTTTAGAGTCTACGCCTAAACCTTTAAATGTTAAAGATGAATATTTTTTTCCCTCTGTTGATTATCCTCTTGATGCAACAGATTTATGGGCGCCTCATTATTGGAATCACATTCCAAGCATTCAACCTGAGGTAAAAAGTAACGTAAAAGAATCACACATTATTAAAGCAACTAAGGAAATAGCAAAAATTCCCAAAGGAACAAAAAGTAATGCTGCTACAAAAACTAATTTGGATTCTGTTTTTGTAAAAACAAATCGAAATAATGAAGATACAAACATAGAATCTTACAAAATTCTGGACGATAGAAAAGACATCAAGACTGGGAAAGAAAGCGTAAAATATGAGAAAAGTATAACTAAGGTGACCCCATCACATAACAACTGTGAACCAAGTTCCAAATTAGAAAATGAAAATAAAAAGGCGGGATCGACATCAATTGGAAATATATTTAATACAACTACCGGTACGGTAAAACCAAATCAATGTATAACTACCCCATACCAGAATTGCCAAACACTTACTACTGCACAGTCAACAAGTTCTTATATCTCCAGTAGTATAGAAAATGTTTTCAATGAATTGCCACTGACTGCACAAATAACTCCTTCACCAATAGTTGAAACGTCTTCTTATTGTACTGAGCCTATCAAATCCTCAATGATGTCGCTTACATATACGCCTTTAACAACTGTACCCCCAGCTAACAATGAGCATTTCTGTGATATCAAAAACCAATTGCTTTTCAATTCTACGAACGCGGAATTGGAAAACAACAGTTGTAATAATAGCGAAAGTGAGGAAAGTGTAAACGACGATGCAGAGTCGGCAGATGAAATGGGATATACAATTATGTATCCTGAGGCATTGAACTCCCCCCTCACCACTTCTACAAGGTCACCAATAGTTTCAATAGATGTCGACAATACCTGGATGTATCCAGAATTTGATAATCATACATTAAATACGTATTCCGATGAAGTTGAACAATATTATATTTTAGTTTCATGAAGGTATACAAGGCTTAATATTATTCAAATGTTTGCTTTAAGAAAGTTTATAACCAGTTATATCTTATTTAGTTTATAGAACCTTTTTCGTTATTAAAAAATATTAGTCAACTCTAGTTAGCATACGTGTTAATGAAAGTTATTTATTGTAATTTATAAAACCTTAACGTAAGTATAAAATTTATAATTATGTAAATTAAATGATATAAGTAGTGATGTATACCTAACAAGCAATTCGTCATTGTGTCGCGCAAAAATAATGTTTGTTAAATGTTGGAAATATATCATCATCATATACTCTTCACTAGTCTACTGCTGAACATAGGCCTTGACCAAAGAATGCCTCAAAACACAGCCCTAAACTACCTTCATCTATCGACTATCTGCGTATTTTACCAGATCGTCACTCCATGTATGATGATTAATATAAATGTAATATAATCGTATAAGTACCGTAAGTTTAAAATAAAATTTAATAAAGAGAACGATTCAATGATGGCTTTAAGCATTCTTAATAAAAAAAACCGTCCTAAATCCCTTTAAAATATCATAATGGCGTCGCCAACAGTGGCGAAGCGTCCATAGACGCCGAAAAGCCGGGTTTGCCCTACTAAACTGCTCAATCTATTATCAACTAATAAAATAACTCGTAAACTGTTTCAAACTATTTCAAATTTCCCGCGCGCTGCTCTGTTCTATACAGGTCATGACCTCGTAGCCTTAGCGATACTGCTGTCATAAAAAAGGAGTTGAGCGATTAATCGTTTCTCTCGCACGCGTGGGCTTTTTATCGGGCTTTCGAGAAGACGATCGCTCACTTTGTAACCTGTACCAAAATGAACAAGTAGCAAAAAAAGTCCCATTTTTTTTTTTTTTAGAGAAAAAAATTAGGGGAAATTTATGCTTTTTTAAAGATTTTTAGTGAAAATGAAGAATAATAGTGTTCCTTGTAATGAATTGAAATATGTTAAAGTGCTAATCGACGAGGAAAAGGTGAAATCTTTAAACTTTGTTGAGAAAATACACAAGGTCAAAGGAGCGTCTTTCAGACTTATCAATTATGGCAGTTGAAAAACAGTTATTGGTACAGTTAAAACGTTCACCAACATTTTACGCGGACGTAATCAAATCTTTACTTTAAGAAAGAGTGACGATTCGATTTAGAATATAAATAATTTGTTTTTTAATTTTGTACATAGTTTGTTTGTACTTTGTTCATGCTTTTCTTTTGTTCATATATTGTATTGTATATAAATACCTTCTTTCGCTCATGCAAACACAAACGGCTTTTTTAAAGCCACCGAAGGTATGCAATTGCTTATATGTCATACGATCTATCTAGCAGTAGTATGTCTTCTGTGTGATTTGTTAAAAACGTCCTCAACAGTACTGAATACGAAACTGAAGAGTGGAGATAGATCAAGATTGGTGTATTTTTATAAAAATTGTAAAAACAACCAAACCATATGTTGGGCTTGCCCTAGTTTGGAGTCCTAGCTTGGCCACTGGTCGCTAATACAGCAACATGCAATAACATGTAGGGTTTCACCGCTTTGTTAACAAGCCTGAAAGGTTCTTGCACTTAGAGGGATTCGCCACGTTAGAAAATATTTTACATAAATATAAGAAAATATGTGTTGATACATATACTGATAGCTCAGATGGTTAGCGCTCGCTGTAAATTTCATACTACGCGAGCAACCCGGGTTCTATCCCCGCCGGTGCCAATGACATTGTTAATTGAAATTAATGTTTTTATTATTAATCAATCAATTGTTAATTAAAATTTATGTGTTTAGCACGTGCTAGGCGGCGAAGGAAAACATCGTGAGGAAACCTGAGAAATAAGAAAAAAAATATTTTTAGTAGACGTGGCGTGACGAAGTGTGAAATTATTATTTGAAACTTTTAACAAAATCAGTAAATCACGATAATTTTAACACGCACAATAAAATTAAACGTGCTGTTCCAATTTACAGATTCCGTATTACCAGCGACCATTTTTGCGCAGATGATTAACTATTTACGATTTAATATCCTGTAACATTACTAATTTGTCTTTGCATTTCCAATCGCACTTAAAATGCATTTTTATGTATAAAAGATATTGTAAATTAGACGAATTAAAAAAAGGGTTGTGAGAAAACAGAAGGAAGCTCTAATCTGTTTTTTTTTTAACTCTCTTGTCTTTTTTATGTGTATAAATTTAAGGTTTAAATTGGAAGTGTTAGGAGAGAAATAGTATGCCATCAAAAACATAACTTGTAAAAAAAAAAAAAAACAAGTCCCGCAACTCAATTCTTCTACCGTAAAAAGTTGTGAGATCCATGTAATACCAAGTCGGTTAATTTATTCAGTCCCTACTTAAGGGTCCTTCTGTTTTAAGTTATTACGTAATTATATTTACCGTATACCAACAACGTACCTATCTATACCTATTATACATATATACAAGTACACTGATTCATTCACTGCAAATGTAACTTTGTAATTCTATATATTTATATAGGATTACAAAGTTATTTATGCAGTTGATGTATGTAGAAAACTGGACCGGAATAAAAAAATATTTTAGTTTTTCCTTGATTAATACACTAAACACTAACTGTATTCTAAATTTGAAGCCTCTATGTCTGCTAGAAGTGCTTTAGAGTTTTGATGATCGGTCAGTCCTTGAGTGACAATATTAAGAAACTTTGACTAGTTATGATTCTTAAACTACTGGTTTAAATTGAATGAAATTTGAAATATACCATATTCATACAATGCCTACTCGGTTAATGAAAATTCAGGCTTCTAGTTTTATCCACTACGAAGTTATAGGGGGTCGAATATGGCCTGAATTGCTTCGAGAAAAGTATGGTACGGCCGTGCCGCTTTTTTGCTCGACTTGGCGGGGCACTGCCGTGCCCCCAGATTCTCGTGCTTTTCTTACTTCTTTTTCTCACAAGGATCCCTGGAGTATGCACTTATGAAGCTATAGCGTAGTTTCTTTGATTATCAAAAAGTTTTTTTATAGGATAGGATGACAAACGAGCACGTAGCCCACCTTATGGTAAGTGGTTGCTGTGGCCCATAGACATTTACATCTATCCTCGATTACTAATCAAAATGCAGATGCGTTGTCACCCGTGAGGACTAAGATGGAATGCCCCAATTCCAGTAAAAAGGCTCTGTTAAAAAGTGCTTCGTAAAGGCTAATTTTGAATAAATATATTTTGAATTTGACTTTAATGGGGCCACATGATTAGCGGTCGCTTACAACCAATAGCCCAAATAACAGTGGAAATAAAGTTATCACAGTAACAGGTCTCTCATACTTTTGACGTTTCATTCTGTAATCAATTTGGTCACCAAAATCACAATGGTCTATGGGGTCTGGCGAATAAAAATGGCTACTACATCTGCCGATGTTTACATTTTCTTCTAGTCATTTTGTTCCAGGCACCTCTCACGCCGTCCACGGAGAATGGATTAATGGATACTTTTTCGACGCCCGACACATAAATACGTAGTAATATTATTTATTCTGTGACATAAGCTCTAATTTCGCAAGTTCTATTATTACTTTTATTCATCAATTCATAAATCGCATAACTAAGCTGAGGGAAATATTGAAGCAACCTTTCCTTTGCCACTCAGTATATATTAATATACTGATAACGATATAGTTATAATGCCACGAATCGAAAGCCTTGGGATATATAGAGAGCCTTGGTATTTCCCATAGTCCCATTTAACACAATCCTAAGACGTAGTATTTAACTTCATTAAACCAATAATTCAGAGCGGCACAAGCCAAAGCAACGATTGCTAATACAGATTAGGGCCCATATTATATACGCATAACCTCTTTATATTTATCTCTGGCTTTGGTTCTTAATTGAAAATTCAATTCAGCGAAACTGCGCAGAAAAAATGTCAGTCGCAATGAAAACCGGTTGCTTTGATACTGCAATAAAGAGGCGACCTTGTGATTACGTCGAATTACATCATATGACAGAGCGACGGGACGGAACCGCGTTAAACATAATTGCAGGCTTTTGTATCTTTACAAAGACAAAGTGATGGTTACCTTCATTTCTTAAATGTGCATATTACTGTATATCCTGTCACACTTCATACTCGCTGTCTTTACTGTGACTGAGGTAAGTCCAGAACTTTGGAGTGTAGAAGTAAGGAGTACCAACTCCCATAGTGGAATAGTTGAAAAAGTGGTCATCTGTAAGCAGTAAATAACAGTTCAAAAACTCTCCACAACAGCGCTGAAGTAGCTACTGGGATGAAATGAACTTAGCAGTTGTCACGGTTTAAGTGTGCTGCTAAACTGCTCAGTAGTCTTAAAATCTTAAATAATTTTATTTAGTAAATATAACCTCGAAAAATTCGTCTATCCCACTAATATTTTTCGGTACGTTCTTCATAATTTACCCCGTAGTTATACTGGCGCCACCCTTATTTAACTGTTTTCTATGGACACTTTTTAATACACAGTCTGTATTCCTTACTTCTACACTCCATATCCAGAACGTTCTTATCGCCTCCAATGGCTGTACATATCTTACGTGATAGTGCCCCGATGCTGCGTAATAAAGCTGTATCACGAATGGGTTGGCTCGATCAGGGAATGACAACGCTCCAAATATAACAGCGTGACAAACCAGCGTAATGGTGCACTATTTCGTGTAGTGAATGACGAGAAACGAAGACCCAATTAACGAGGCATTTTACGTTGTATCTTAGAGAGACAACGCATTATTATTTTGATTCTTAATAATTTATGTATGTAAAGATTGTGAAGTGGAGTATTTTATAACCAGGTAAGTGATTAGAGTATGTGAAATATTTTTTTAAATAAAAAAAAAATCGAAATAGAGGCTACATTGACACTATAACCTATTTCACGGTGTAGCTCTGTGGGTACATCGTAAATTACACTATTGTACTGTTGTTCAGATGATATGCTCAGAGTCATAATCGTCAACTCATGAAGGTTTGTAT